GATTTTGAGCCAACCGGGATTTCGAACGTCGGGATTTTGTTATAGTCGGGATTTCAATACAGCCGGGATTTCGAACGTCGGTATTTTGAGCCAGCCGGGATTTCGATACACTCTGGATTTTGAACGTCGGGATTTTGATATAGTCGGGATTTCAATAGACGGGGATTTCGATTGTCGATTTCGGCTTGCGATTGCCACCGGGTATGAAGATGTTGTTTAATTTAAATTTATTTTAAGACTGGTTTTATCAAAGGTTTCACGAATAGCGCTCAGAGTTTCACAGTGGGATTTGGACATGTGGAACGTGTAATGCGCACGATTTTTGTTAAAGAATTGTACATTTGGCCTCGGTTCCATTCGTCCGTGATACAAAGTTTGAAAAAGCATGAGGTAATATTTCTAAAAAATGCTCCTCTTGATCATTTTAATACGTATATTTGCAGCCACAAGTGATTGAATTGCATATACCGATTTCGGAGAAGATGAGTAAAATACAGACGAACCTATTGGATTTGATGAATCTATCTGTTAAAGAATTGAAGAGAATAAATCGAACTTTGGAGCTTCAAGTACATTAATTTGTTAAGAATTAACTAATGATAATAATTATATAATATTTTCAGCAAATCACGGTCGAGAATTGTTTGGTGAAGAATTTCCATAAGGTGCTGCAGTCGCAATTGGATTGCATTTGGAATCAGCTGAGTTCGAAGAGCAAACAGTTGATTGCGGATTTGAAAATTCTCAGGCATTTGCTGATGTGAGTTTAATAATGGAGAAGTCGAATTTATCTATTGAATTCATATTAGATCGCTCTTCTACTCAGATCCAGTGAGCTTCTACACCACGCTGATGACTTATAGGACTCTCGAGTACGCTCAGACCTCACTTTGGGTGCTGATGGAACCAGCGAACCAGTTATTCGCTAATGCCGCAGCTTTAGTCTTTAACACTAAGAAAGGTAATTAATCTTGTTACATTTACCTGCTTTTTCGATTTAAAAATAATTTGCGTCAATAGAACTAAAACCTGAATATTGTCCAAAATGGAAATCGCTAATGGAAATTCTGAAAGTGGAAATTCCCAACGAAATAAAAACACTGAGCGGAGATGAGAATACCAATGTTTTAATTTTATGCCAGGACGCGAAGACGTGTTATCAACTGAATCAGGTTATACCTATTTTATTCCCTATTTCCCTATTGATAATTGACGATTGTTAACAGTTCTTAACGCAAGGAGCGAATCATTACTTGCTGCTGATGGCGCTGCAGAAGGAACTCAAGTTCACAGCAGTCAGCACAGAATACCAGGATTGTGAACTATCGCAAACACTCTCGCAAAGCGTTTCATCCAAAGAATCGAAGAAAAGTAAACTCAACAATTCTGAGGTTGAAGAGCTGGAATCCATGAAAGACTCTTACATTTTATCTCTTACTTCCAATTTTCTTTCCGAGGATATTGAAGACGCTGCCGAAGACAACGACGTCACATTTGAACCATTCCCTGAGGTAAATATACACATTTTTTTTTTTGTTAAGTTCAATTTGTATATTTTTTTAGATGGAAAATATGAATTTCACGCAACTGTTGGAAGGCAAAAAGAAAGCGCCCACGATTCTCATACAAACTTTTAAACACTCGGACAATTTCCTTTCACTGCTGAGAACTTTGGATGAAATTAAACCGAATTTTATCATCATGTATCATAGTAATATTACAGCTATCCGACAAATTGAGGTATTATTTTGTTTACATTATTGTTTATTACTAATATTCATCTTTTCAGTTGTACGAGGCTCGGAGGCAAAAGAAGTCTTCGTTAAAAGTTTATTTCTTGATACACGGAGAGACTGTCGAGGAGCAAAGTTATTTGACTTCTTTGAGGCGCGAGAAGAAGGCTTTCGAGTATCTGATTGAAACGAAATCTGTTAGTAATTTATTTTTTTTAATTACTGTATCTTTGTTAAATTAATATTTTAGACAATGGTGGTACCTGAGGATCAAGATGGAAAGACCGATCAGTGTTTGGCATTGCAAAGGGATGTCAAAGAGGCGGAGGTTAACACGAGAAAGGGCGGAGCAACGGAAACACCCGAAGTCAAGAAAGTTGTGATCGTTGATATGCGAGAGTTCCGAAGCGAGTTGCCTGCTTTGATCCATAAGAGAGGAATGGAAATCGAACCATTGACCATAACAGTAATAGAAAATTGATTCAATTAGATTAGATTTTAATTAATTTCTTTTTAAGGTCGGCGATTACATTTTAACTAAAGATATTTGCGTTGAGCGTAAAAGTCTTTCAGATTTGGTGGGGTCTCTAAATTCCGGTAGATTGTATACTCAGTGCACTCAAATGAGCCGATATTATACTAGGCCGATGCTTTTAATTGAGTTCGATCAGAACAAACAATTCTCTTGGCAGGTAAATTGTAATATCTCCTTTAAAAAAATGATTTTATTAATTAATAATTTTCAGAGTAATTATATGATTTCTAGTGATGAAAATAGCTTCGAAATACAGCAGAAACTGCTGCTGCTGACGCTGCATTTCCCTAAATTGAAGATAATCTGGAGTCCGAGCCCGTACGCGTCTGCTCAACTATTTGAGGAGCTAAAGGTTGTATTTCTTCAATTTTATTATGTAATCGTCTTTACACTCTTATATATTACAGGAAGGTAAGGATCAACCTGATATAGAGTACGCTAACGCGATAGGCAGTGAACAAGACGTCGATGTAATTGAAACTAAATACAATACGAGCATCTACGATTTCGTGCAAAAGTTGCCGGGAATCACCTCGAAGAACATCGACATTTTCCTGAGGCGTTACAAGAACATGAGCGAAGCTTCGAAAGCCACTAAGGTATTAACTATACTTGAATAATTTCAATAATAGGTCATTTATTTTCTTACTTATTTTCAGGAAGAGCTGAAAGATGTCCTCGGTAATTCGGCTGACGTCGATTTGTTCTACTCGATCCTACACGAAAGCCACCAAATACCGGTCGCCCAGGACCAAATGAAAACCAAGGGAAAGCTCAAAAACAAATTTAAATTCTGCAAAAAGTAAATGAATTTGAATAAACAATTCAACTTGTAGACAATCTCATTTTAAAAATTGAATACAAAGTTGTCGGATTTGCGTTCGTCTTTGGATTCTGCTGGAATTGGCGATTGCAACGCGTATTGAGATCCTCTGAAACTATCGTCGAAATTCATTGGTACATCTATATCATTGTAGCTCCTAGTTGGAGAAATGTTCAACGTTTGCAGCATATCAATTTGATCATCGTACTGCTGCACCAAGTTCGACGATTCCAAAGTTGGAGGAATTATGTGTTGGTGGATGATTTCAACCAATGGTTTTTCCTGTGACATCTTCATCGCTGCAGTTTCCGTGACAGTTTCTTTAGGAGCGACGACAGTTTGCGGTATTTTGAATGGAGCAGGAAGCTTTTCCTTGACCGGAGTAGAAGGCTTTCCAATTGATTTCGGTGTCGGATTTTCCATTTTATCGGGAACTTTCCGAAACGATTCCGCTTTCCAATCCACGCAAATCACCTTCCGTTGTTGCAGTTCCTCAATTTCCAAGAAACGCTTTGGTAACTGCAAACAATATAATTTTTATATGCAACAAACAAACAAAAAATATATACCTTAGGATCAATGTTTAACTGGAACATCCTACTATCTGCAACAAATTCAAGTAAATCCCTGAGATCATAAATCTAAGCTACAAAATTACCAGACTTTGAGAGACGCTCTTGATATTGCTGCATGAGCACCTCGCAAGCTTCACTCTTCTCCTTAATTTCCGCAACGAGTTTCTCGTTGTTCTTATAAGCAACGTATTTTTTCGCGAATTCGACGACCGCTATATTTCGTAATCTATCGTTAATGTCTTTCTGGAGAATCGCTCGTTGCTTCTCGTCTTGCTTGTGCTGCTCCATAAGCTTCTCTTCAAATTCCAACTTCATCAACTCGATTTGGGTTTCCTTTAACTCCTTGTAACCCGGCGTTCTGTTCTGGTACTCTTCCTCCAATCTCCTATACTGCAGTTTACATCTTAACGACGCTTCTTCGATTTCGGAAATCTCAACTTTCATCTTTGCTTCTTTTAAAACATTCGCTTCCTCCAATTGCCTCGCAATTTTCTGCAACAAGGGAATCCTCTCCAAATTCCTGAAATTAATTGATATTTTGTTTTCTAATCTCTTATAAAATGCAACAACCTTTCGTTCTCATTTCTCATGAATTCCACTTGTGGCTTCATTACAGCAAGATGATCATTCATCAGTTTCATTTCTCTCTTCCTGCTTTCAATCTTCTTCTGAAGTTCAGCGCTTTTCTCTTTGTATACTGAAAATAATTAATATTTAAGATTATCATAAATAATTTGCTAATTTCTTACATTTTATATAAATACTATCCTCGAGTATTTTCATGTTTAATTTGTTCCTTTCTTCAATCAAACAACTCCAGTTACTAGAAGTCTGCGATTTACTTTCCATTTTGTAACTGTTTCAATTAATAGTACAAACTAATGAATTATTTGTATTAGAATTGTTTAAAGTTTGGCGTTATTTATATACCAACTAATAAATACTAAATGCTTTGTTTTTATACTAGGAAATAATACAAATTGTTTAAATTTTGTTTATTTTATGGTGGTTTCATTGACGAAGCATACGAAATTTAAAAAGAGGGCGGCCGTAGCCGTGTGGCTGTGATCATTTATATCATAAATAAATTGATATAAATCTCAATAAGAATCTAAAAAGCAATACTTTTCTTATATTTTCCATTTTTGTCATCTATTCTGCTCTTGTTAAGCTTATGAAGTGTATGAGATAAGTGATAGATGGCGCTAGAATAAGTAGTTTAGTTGGCTGAAACACGACATCGTCCCTGAATATACGTCAAGTCAAGTGTACGTGTACTGTTTGGGTGACATATGACATATATAATCTATGTTATTTAATTTATCGCCAAAATTAGGTAAATTGTGCCCTAGTTTCAATTGAAAACATCTGTAACTTCTATTAGAGTTCAAATTTAATCTATTCTATGCAACGTCTACAGTACGATATCAATGTGCATCTGTTGTTTTTTATACTATAACCAAAATTTCAATATAACCAAGTAAATGGTAGATGGATTTCTAAAGCTGTGTATTTGTGCAGGTAACGAATATGTCACAGGGTCCATCAGAGGACCCAGGTGGGTCTGGCCCTGGGGTCGCAGAGCATTCGGGCAATCAGGAATTGAATGACCTGAAAGATCAGTTCGAGCACCAGCAGACATTAATAGCACAATTGAAGGAGATGCTGAGGAAGGATGATCAAACAAGTGTGACCCAGGAGAAGGTGGCAGAATATGCAAACACTCTTACCAAGATGAATGCGAGGGCAAAGAGGAACCAAAACAAGGAGGGTGGTGCTAAAGACATTGCAAGGAAAACCATAGACACTCCTTCGAGTGAAAAGATGCTCTTACTAAGGCAACAAATAGAGCAAAACAAGTATGTTGTATTTGATAATTTGTTTATAGAGAAAGTTAACAATTAATTCAATTGTAGGGTAAAGTTGGCTGAGAGGGGAAAGAGTCAGAAAGGTGTGGAGCAAAGGGTGTTGCAGATGAAGGCTCAACTGGATGATTCCCAGCATTTCATTAGTCAATCAACGACTCCCTTAAATATATCTCTAATAGAAGATAGAGTAGACTACAGTCCAAGTGCAAGTTCGCAAGAGCTTTACAATATCCTTTTAAACAAAGACAAAAGAATAACTGAGATGAACATGAAAATGTCTAAATTGGAGGCAAATGTTTTAGATCTTCAGGAGAATCTAAAAGAGAAGGATTCCGTTATTGATGCCAGAACTAAAGCAATCACTTTGATGTCGGAAAACCTAAGCAAAAAGAGCAAAACTACTTTGGATACGTTGGACGATACTAAAGAGCAGATGCGGAAAATGCAAACCAATTTTATCAAATTGGAGGAGGATATGAAAGAGGAAAACTGCAAACTTCAGAATCTGTTGGACGAGAAGAACGTCGAGATATGCCAATTGAAAAGTGAGAACGATAGTCTTGTAGCAAGTAAAACGGAATTAAGCAAAGAATTGGATACTTATAAAGAAAGCGGTGAGAACGATTTGAAATTGCGAGAAAAGATTGCGGAATTGGAAGAAATGAATAGGAAGCTTCAAAGCAACGAATCCCCGAGGAATTCTCCATCGAGGAATGGTAAAAGAAATAAGCGCGGTAGAAGCAAATCAGGTAGACCTGTTGAAGATAACTCCGAACAGATTACCTTGTTGGAGAAGACAATTAAGGAGCTGGAGAAGAGCGTTGAAGAGTATGACAAAACCGTTAAAGAATATAACACCACCATTGAAGATCTAAAGAAGGAGAAGGAAGAATCTAACAATATCATTAAACAGCTTAGGAGTTCCACCGAATCCAGCGGCGCTGATTTGCAGGCTTTGAAAAAGCAGCTCGATGATTCTAACAAGAATATGATTAAAGTCAAAGCGCAGCACAAGAGTAAATTGAAAGAATTGAATAAGAAAATCGACGATTTCAAGAAGATCAGTAACGTTAACGCTGAACTAGTCAAAGTCGAATCGGAGAACTCTAAACTTACCCAGAAAATTGCCGAATTGGAAGAGGAGAAAGGACAGATGCAATTGCAATCAAATGGTAAAAAAAATTACAAAAATTTATATTTAAAGAAAAATAATTGTTTTAATTTGCAGATTTGGAAGAGTTTGAGGCAAAGATAAAAGAACATCTGGAGACGATTTCTGTGAAAAACGAATTAATTTTGAAACTCGAGAATGGTAATTTATTTTTGATTTATATAATTTATAAAATCAACTGAATTTACGGTTTTGTTTTATTCTTTTAGTTATTCAAGAGAACGAAGAGCAAATGAATTCTCTAACTTCTAGAGTGGAAACTTTGTCGAATGCGCGCAGCGATAAGATTCAATCTGATTTGACGTCCGTTCAATTCGAAGAGCAATTGGAGAAAATGGAGAGGGAACAACAAGAGATGTTGGAAGGAAAAGCTCTGATTTTGCAAGAAAATAAGGAACTCAAGTCGAAAATCGAGGTCTTGTCGAAGGAGAAGCAGGAGATTAATAGTAAATTGGAGAATTATCTGCAGGAGAATATGGAGTTGATAGACAGACTAGAGAAATTAAGTGCAGAGAAGGTATCTTCTGCGGAGAGCATAGAAATAGTCGAGAACTTGACGCAGCAAGAGAAGTTGGAACTGGAGGCTTATCAGAAGAACATAATGAGTAAAAACATGGAACAGCTCGAGGATAATCCGGAATTGAACGAGAGTGTAAACCAATTGACGGAAGAAACTTCGGAGCTGCTGCAACGTATCGAGTTGTTCACTGTGGAAAGGAAAGAGGTAATGGAGAAGATGGAGCAACTTACACAAGAGAACAACCAACTTACATTCCGAATCAAGGAGGTCGAGAATAATCGTGACGTCTTAGTTGAAACCTATGAGCAGCTGCAAACTGAGAAGGAAGAATTAGACGAGAAGTTGACCGGAATGGAAGAGGTGGAAAAAACCCTTACTGCTAAAACTGATGAATTGGAAAAGTATAAATCTATGATTGAAGATCAAAAGAAAGAAATCGAAGACTTGTACATGAAACTACAAGCCAATCAAAGTGCAGATGATGAATCGGTTGCAATTCGCAGCGAATTGGAATCATTGCAGAAACAGTACACGCATTTACTGAAAGAGAACGAAACACTGAAAAACGAATCCGAGAAGATCGATGATCAGAATGAACTGAAACAGTGCATTAGCGATTTAGAATCTAAATTAAGAAACAACTTGGAAGAGATTCATAACTACAAATCTACCATGGAAACGAATAATGTTAACCTGAAAGAATACGAAGTTATCATTAATGAGCAAAAGAATAAACTGAGCGATATGGAAATTGAAATGAAGAATTACAAGAATGAAGAAGCTCAATTGCTCGACGCTATCAACAAGTTGGAAGAGAACAAACGTGTTGAATTAACTTTCATGTCGGAACAAGTGGAAGAGTTGAAATCTATTCTCAGCGAAAATCTAGATCAAATGCAAAAGTATGACCAAGAACTGCAGGCGAATTCGGATACCATTAAATCGCTCACCGAAGAGTTGAAACAGTTGAACAACAAAATCCTGGAAACTGAACATTTGCTCGATTGCAAGGATGATGAGATCAAGCAAGTGAAACGGGAAAAGGATCAGATATCGGAGGAATGCGAATCAAAGTTGAAAGAGCAAGCAAGTACATTTAATCAAAAGCACGAAGAAATGAAATTGAAATTCGTTCAACTGCAGAAACAAATTGATCAGAACAGCGGATCGCTGCAGCCACTCGAAGGTAAAGTGCAAGAGTTGGAGAAGAAGAATAGAGATCAGCTAGAGAAAATGAAGAAGATTGCAGCAAATCTGAAAAAGAAAACGTTGGATTACAAAGAGCTCGAAACTAAATACAATGATGTCTCGGAGAAGTGGATGAACGAGAAGAAGGAGAAGGAAGAAATTACCAATGAAAAGGAGAGCGAGTGGAAATTGAAAATTGAGCAATTGGATTCGGATAATGAATCATTGAAATCAACGAATTCTGGTTTGATGTCTGAAATCAGTGCATACACTGCCCAAGTAGAGGACTTGCAAAACGTTGTTAGAGAATATGAAACTGAAATTAATTCCTTCCGCAATGAAATCGAGGCTATGAAGTTGAGCAGCAATAATAGTCTTAACGCTGAATTGAATAATAGAGATGAAAGAATAATTACCTTGAACGAACAATTGGAATCTTTGAGGTACGAAACTGATGCTAACTCCAACGCGTTGCAAATGAAAATCAAAGAGTTGGAGTTATTCATAGAATCGCAGAACGACGAGCTGAATAACTACAAAGATAGAGTGAATCGTTTGGAAGAAGGTTTATCGAAAGTTGAAGAAAGACGATTGAGTTTGGAAGGAAAGGCTATCCAATTGGGAATGCAACTCGAAGAAAAAGAGAGTTGCGTAGTCGAAGCTTCAATCAAGGAGGCCAACATCGAAGAACGATTGAATGCGTTGATAAAAAAAGATAAGTTGTTCAACGATCGCCTGAATGAAACATTAGATGAAAATCAAGAGTTGCAAGCGAAGAAGCAACATTTATTAGAAGAGAACGAGCAACTTAGAAAATCAATAACATTATTGGAAACTCAATTGAAGAGCTCTAACGAAGAAGTGGAAGATGTTGGTAAGGTTTCTGAAGAAAATGAATCTCTGAAGAACTCTGTGAATCATTTGGAGATTGAAGTGCACAAACTACAAAATAGTTTGGAGAACATGAAGTCGGAATCCGAGAAGAATGAAAATGAACTTCAAGAACAGATCCAGGAATTCAATTTGGAGAGAAAGAAACTGCTGGAAGAATGCGAGATGATGAACGATCAGAAAAATTCGTGGACTCAAATGCAAGAGGAATTCAGCGCGAAAATCGCGGTTTTAAATGAAAAACTTGATCAGCAACAAATCGAGTACAATGACATCACGACCAAGTATTCTGTTCTGCAGACGGAATATCAAATGTTGTTGAATAATCTAGAAGAAACTAGCAGTAAATTGCAGACTGTCGAAGCCGACAAGAATAACATGTCAGCTGAAATAGAGGAGATGCACGAAGTTAAGACTCAATTAGATTTCGCTAAGAATATGTTAAAACATGTCGAAGAGAACTCTCTTTTGGTGATGACTAGAAATGATCAATTGGAAAAGAAGATCGAAGAATTTACAACAAAGAAAGAGAATAAAATCGATTGGCCGGTACTTTCTCAAAATCCGTTCGACTTTGTCACCGAACAACCACAAACCGAACAAGACGTGCAATCTTTACATGATAAAATCAAGAGTTTGGAGTTCATGTTGTTCACGGCGGAGAAGGAAAAAGAAAATGCACTGATGGAATGCCATCAAATGTCCAGCGAATTAACTAAGGTGCTGTACGAGAAGGAAAAAAGAGGATTCGTCGAATTGGAGTCTCAAATTCAGCAGGGCGGTGAAATCGCTATATCAGCAGAAGTTAAAGCAGATTTACAACAAATGCAACCAGTCGTCGAAGAAGTTTGCGTCGCCAGAAAGGCTTACGTGTGTCAGCCGGAAAACCAGAATATGAACGCTTTCGGTGAGAACGACGACGGTTGGGCATGGGGAGCAGAGGAGGCGAAATTGGAGCAAGAGCACATGGAAAATGTCGGAAACGGTGCTGCTTATTACACGCAGAGAATCAAAGAGTTGGAAGCCAACGTTATGGTGCTTGAGGTAGAGCGTGAGAGTAATATGGAAGAGCTGAAGCAGTCGCAAGTAAAATCAGGAAAATTGCTTAAGAAATTAAAGGAGTTCAAAGTAAAGAACGACCAGTTGACTGCCAAATTGAAGTCTGCCAATAGCAGCGACGTTGGTTTCAAAGATTTAGAGGATGCCATGGTCGATGAACTGAAGTCACAGTTGGAAACGTCTGAGAAGAAGTTGAAGGAGATCATTGCAGAATTTGAAAAAGAAAAATTAGAGAAAGCTAATATCCTGAAGAGGGTCGATGTTTTGACCTCCGCTAACGAAAGGATGGTCGAGATGAAGGAAAAACAGGACATCGAAGTGATGGCTTGGCAGAGGCGTAATCGAGAACTGGCCGAAAAATTGGAAAAGTTCGAGTGGGACACGGACTCTTTCGAAACATCGAATACAGCAACCCAACAAACGACCGATCAAGGATCACCTGCCCACGAATTGAAAATTAAAGAGTTAAATGATGTTATCAACGAATTGAGCATCGATAACGAAGAACTACAATCTATTCTCGAGGAGCAGAGAACGTTGCTGAAGGAAGCTCAGAGAGCCAAATCCATGGAACCTATTTCGGAGAACATGAAAACGGAGACCGAATTTAACGCTTTGCTTCAGAAAAACAACGAATTGTTGAACGAGTTAACAACCACTCAAGAGAAAATGAACGAGGTCACACAACAGTTGCAAATGAACTACGTGAAGCGCACGCAGTTGGAGGCATGTGTTATGGAATGCAATATCATGATCGAAGAGTTGCAAACAAAAATTAAAGACAACATTGACAGTTTGGAAATCGAGAAATTGGAATTGCTGGAAAAGAATAAAGATTTATCATTTGAGGTGGACATGTTAGCCGAATTTAAATCGCAGTTAGAAGTCGTTGAATTCGAGAAGACCACGCTTTTCGAAGAATTGAAAGTGCTGAAGACGACGTTGCAAGAGAAAGATAATTTATTGCAACACCTGGAGTCGGAAAAGAATAATATGATTGAAGTGAGGAATGTACAAGAGAACGAAGAATTGAATGTGGTAAAAGCGTCGTTGCAGAATGCGTTGCAAGAAAAACAGAATTTAGTAGAACTTTTGGAGTCCGCAACGAGTAACATGGTGGAAGTTAGTAAATTGCAAGAAAACGAAGAGGCTTTTGCTCAAGAAAAACGGGATTTATTAATGAAGATTGAGGATTTACGTAATAAAGAAAGTGAATACTTGAGGGAAATTGAAATGCTTCAGGGAAATATTCAGCGGCTGGATGAAAACTCGAACGAATTGAATATTAAACTCGAAGATAGAGATAATGAAATTGTAAATTTGCAGAAATTGAAGGAAGAATTTGTAGCTCAAGTGAGCGTTTTGGAAAATGATAAATCTAATTTACTTGCTGCAGCGGAAGAGCAGAAGAGGCTTGATGCATTGGGAGATGAACATAGTAGTTTGGTTCAGGAACTCGAGGACAAAATCCTGGAGTTGCAAAGAAAACTAGAGAATCTGGAAAATGATTATCAATCGAGGCTCGAGCAATTGCAGTTGGAATGGTCGCAGCACGTGGAGCAGAGAGGCAACGACGTCGCTGAAAGTTGGAAGATGCACGTGGATATGAGAGAAAAGGAATTCGTGCAAACTGAACAGAAGTTACGCAATGACCTCGACTCGTGGGAAGGCAAGTACAACGCGATGGTGAACGAAAACAACGAGCTGAAGAAAAACGTCGATGATGAGATCAGAAATGAAATAGAGAAGATGACGGCATTGCAGAAGGAGGTGCTAGAGAAGCAGCATCAAATCAATGATCTGACGCGTGTCCTGCAGGAGAAACAGACGGAAATCGATAGCGCACACGTGCAGAGTAATAATTACATGGCGATTATCCAACAGTTGAATCTGAATATCGAGGAGGCCGCTAAAAAGGCCAAGGACGTTGAAGAGCTGCACGAGGAGAGGGAGGCCAAGATACAACTGCTGAACGAGAAAATTATGCAACTGAGCGAGAGAATCCAGGAGCTTGAATTGGAGTCGGATGAGTTGCGTCAAACGGTCGTCATCAAAGAGGACGCAATTGCTAGACAGGATGAAACCATCAAAGAGCTGAACACGCAAATAGCCAGCAGCTCGGATACGGAAAACGTCGTGAAAACATTGCAACTGGAACTGCATGAGAAGCAGAACGAGCTGAATGAGAACGAAATATATCTGGAGGATTATAAGATGCAGCTGGAACAATACAAGTCGAAGATAGAGACGTTGGAGAGGAGCGTCTTGGACCGTGAGAACGAATTGCGTGCTATGCAAGTGGAAATGCAAGCTGAACACGCGAGCGCGACGAATCACCAGCAGCAGATTTCCATGTTGAACACACAAATCGAGGAATCCCGTCTGCTGAACGAGAACTATTCCGTGGAATTGCAGAGATGCACTTACGAGTTACAATGCAGAGATGCGGAATTGGCTAGAATAAATGTTGCATTTACTGAGAGGGAGCAGGAATATGCTTCTCATCTGCAAGCGAAATCTTTAGAAATCGAATGCGTTTCTAGTCAAAAGATGATCGAAATCGAAGATCTCCAGGATAAATTAAACGAAATCAGATGCAAGGAAGAAGTCTTAGTTTCCACGGAAACCGAGCTGCGTGCCTACAAGCAGCAGCTGGAGGAGCAGCAGACGGAAATTGCCAATTTGCAGGTGAATCTGCAGCAGGAGCACGAGAAATTGAACGAGCGCATCGTGAAAATCGAATACGCCGAGAGGGAGATTACCGAGCTGCAGCAGATCATCGAGAGTCAACAGCTGACCATCGAAGAGTTGAAACGCGATTTGCTCGAGAAAAGCAGCAACTACGATGCTCTGATTGCCGAAGTCAGCGAAGTGCAAGAATTGTCAACGGCCAGGAGGCAACTGCAATACGAAGCCTCTTCGGCAGCGGACGAGAATCTTGCGGATCCGGTGAACAGGGCTGAATTGGATTTGGCTCTGTACATGTTGCACCAGAGGGACGTTCGTTGCGAGGAGCTCACAGTGGAGCTGATGCAGCTCTTGGAGGAGAGAGATACGCTGCAGTTGCGTCTGTCGAATGCCATCAGAGAGAAGGAGGATTTGCGTTCCAGGCGGACGTTGGAGGAAAGCGACGAAGAGGCTAACGTCGGCCAGACGAAGCAGGTCTCCCAATTAGGTGCTATACCGAAGAGTAGAGCAATTATTTTGGGTGCTACCGGTACCGAGATGGCGACTGAGGCTGCGGAGAGCTTGGAGGGAGGAGGCGGCGGCGCCTTGGCAAACAAGTAAGTCATAATCTCTTGCGTAAACATCGCTATTTTTTTTTCAATTTGGCGCTAATTCGGAGAGTCAATGTTTCCGCATTATCTCAAGTCAAATTTGTCAAACAAATAACTCCTGTTATTGTTGTTCTGGTAAATTTACTTTTGTTTACATAACAGTCGAGGATTTTCCTCGCCGGAAATGGTTTGCTTAATTTTCACGCTGATTATTTTCTTTTATTATTTTTTTCAGACTTTCCGAATTGAAATCGGTCGGTTATCGGAAAGACAAGACCATCTTGGATGAACAGGACATGCGTAGGATCCAGCAGTTGTCCATTCTGCAGCAGCACAAGGACGATGTTTCCAAGTTACCAGCAGAAGCAGCTGCGAGACTAGTCGATGCCAGTTATACATTATGTAAGTTCAATCAAACGAATCGATCGCAAGTTTTTTTTTTTTTAACAATTTCTTCTCCACTTTCAGCACGGGACGTTCAAAGCCCTTCGAAGGTTCTACTCAATTGGCTGTGGGGTAAGAGCACGCCAAAAGTAAACAACGTTTGATCCGGAACGTCACAGCCTATCTGTATTATGTGCCTACAACAGTGTAAGAATAGTGAACCAACCAATATTAATATAACGAGAAGAAAAAAAGAAACATATTTTAAATAAGTTACAGTGTGATATTTTGTTTCCGTTACGATGATTTTTGTATAACTATGTATTCCTGTGTAAACTTTTGTATCATAATAATTTTATTTTTGCATATAGGTTCACAGCATTTATGTTTTATTGAAGAAAAAAAAAGTAATATAAAGAAGATGATGAGGTGGAGAAATAATGATGATGTATATAACAATAAATGTATTCCAGTTTTATATATAGTTGTTTGCTCTGTGCGAAATTACATCACATTTCTTTTTCTTAATCTGCGGACCCAGAAGACTATGCCGACACAACTTGATGCCTGTACTTTTTTCATCACTCTAATTATATGCGCGATGTTTATTTTCCATGCAATAAATCTATAAATATGTGAGACGAAGCAGATCTTGCTTGTATTTATTCTACTGCATTTATTTCGTTTACTCATCTATTATTTGTCACTACCAATATAGATTGAATTCAATACAAAAACAAGTCATCTCCAGGTATTTTACTTCCATCGTCAATCGTTTATGCGAGAGAATTTAAAGTTAAATTCAGTAAATAAGTAGTTAACACCCCTTTGACACTAGGTGACAGCTGTCATTACGCAACCCATCGGAGTGCTGCAAGGCTCTGTTTTAGGTCCCCACCTATGGAATCTAGCATACGTATTAAGGATAGAACAGGCGTAACAGTTATCGGATACGCGGATGATCTTGCAGTAGTCGCTGTGGAAAAAACAAAGGAGAAGTTTGTGGAAAAGGGAAATCTGGTCATTCGTAACATCCAAGAGTGGATGGCTGATAGAGGACGGAGAAAACAGAAGCGGTATTGCTGATCGGAAGAAGGAAAGTCAGCACAATAAAGTTCACAATGTCAGGCATAAACATAACACCGAAGAAAGCTATCAAATATCTAGGGGTCCATATCGATAACTAAACAATGGAGGACCGAAGTCGAGTAAGAAAAGAGTGCTGGGGGCAGTGGCGCAATCTGTAATGCTACACGCAGCTCCTGTATGGGAAGAAGCGATGACGGTGAAAAGCTATAGAAGATTGCTTGAAACTGTCCAGCGAAAGTGTGCAATCAGGATATGCAGTGCATACAGGACAATCTCAAGAGATGCTGTACAAGTAATAGCGGGAGTGCCACCTATAGAACTACTTGCCACAGAGAGAAAAGAGAGGTGCCTGTTGATTTAACAAAACGGATGCGAGAGATAGATTGTGGCAAAGATGACAAACTTCAGAGAAAACTCATCACAGAAATCAAACCCTGGATTAATAGAAACCACGGCGAAGTAACTTTCAGATGTACTCTCTACCAAGGTAGAAGATCAGAGGAGAATGGAGAGAGAAAACGAAGAAAATGGCAGTGGAAGCCAACACTGATTCAGACTATCAACATCTCAGAGCAGTATCAACAAACAGGACCTTAATGCTCACGAAGAAGACGAGAGGTTTTTCGTGGGTAAGAATCCCACAGTACCATGAATTCACCGTTTTCCTCTCCTCCCGAAAAAGAAACCCATCGGTTGAGAAACACTGTTACATAAAATATTTAATAGTAGTATTTCAAGTTTAAACTTTTTTATGCTAATATATTCGTATTCCAAATTGTTTGTAAATTTAAATTTTTCATCCCTTCAACATATTTATAATGCACTTAGCATTTCTCTCGGTATTTGGAAACATTTTTCAACTTTTAATAACAACAACAAAAAAAACTACACTTTACAAATTCTATAATTTAACTTTTTACTTATTTCAAGTTTAAACTTTTTTATGCTAATATTTTCGAATTCCAAATTTGTTTGTAAATTTAAATTTTTCATCCCTTCAACATATTTATAATGCACTTAGCATTTTTCTCGGTATTTGGAAACATTTTTCAACTTTTAATAGCAACAACCAAAAAAAAAACTACAATTTACAAAAATCTATAATTTAACTTAGATTTTTTTTCACGTTACGTAACAAACTGAAGTAATTTTATACATATTTTACTTAAACAAAATTTGTTGATATTATTGAAAAATCAAATATCGAACAACTCGGATATTTACCTTTACTATATAATCCGGTAATCATTCGGTGATTAAGTGTGCATTAACAATGAAGGATGAACGATTAGAGTGGATTTAGCTTCAACAAACAACAATAAATAAATACGATTACATCTTGTTTCTATTCCACGGACAAACGCAAAATGTCGCCTAGGTGACGACAATTAATCAAATTCGTATCCAAGGCAACAAAGTGTTCCATCCATTTATCTCTGTCTCTCCGAATGTTTCGTTACACAATCATTGTTACATGACAATAACATACAAACAAACAAAAAAAGAGAAACGTACACACGTTTACAAAGCAAAAAGTTACAGTGATAATTTCAGAAATTCAAATTGAAAACGCGCGTCTCGTATTTACAATTGCAATTACAGATAAGATTAGCGGAATTAATATGCGGATCCTCTCCGTCTCTTTTCGTCATATCGTTATTATTTTTTTTTTGGGAGCTAATTATATAATCGCTAGACTCTTGAGCATTATGTTTGCGCAAATTAATGGATGGCATTGATATTGATGCTGTGAAATTGATAACTTTTCTTTGTAACAAAAAAAAAAAACTAAAGAAAACATGAAAAAATGGATATTTGAAGCTTCAAGGATCAACCGGGAGTTATTCATAACTTGTGTAATATAATGAAATGTATTTCTATTTTCAGATCCCGTGCAAATATTTACATTAATATCATTTAGTTGGTTGGTGTGTGCGTTTGTACGCGTGTGTGCGTGTATACGTACACGAGATAAAAGTGAAGTACTTTCGAGTGGTGAGACAGGAACGTGGGGAGAGCAGGATGGACGGAAAAGAGAGAAAAAAATCCGCGATGACCAAAAAAAAAACGCAACGTACGGTAGCGTTCGCGGCGAATGTTGGAAGGCGCGCGCTTGACGAAGACGTCCTATGGATTAGGTTGAGGTTTATCACTTGGCGGCATTGCCGTGCCTCCGTTTATTACCTCACAACAAAGCAATTTTCAGCTATTAAAAAAAAGAGTATATATTCTTTTTATACACATTTTTTTTGTTGTTTGTTTTATTATTAATACGAGCGGTAAAATTTCACCTGAATATTTTACGACCTTATATAAATATTTGAAAATAAAAATTTAGAAGAAAAAAAATCAAAGAGATTCCGGGAATAGAATCGATATAAATGTTTATTATAAATATGTTTATGTTATGACTGAGTGGCCGGACAAGACTTACTTTATCGTAAAACGCTTTTATTTTATGATCTGCGGCTTTGCACAAAGTTAAAAGTAATAGTTTTTGCTTAACCGCACAAAGTAAAAGTCAACAATTTATTTATACTCACAAACTATGTATAGAATCATTGTTATATACTTGAGACAGAAACATACAGAAGTCTTGAAATTCCTCAAATATTCATAAATCGTAGTTTCAGATTAAACAAATCATCTTAAGAATGGTTTGTATCTAAACCGATTTTTATTAAGTTAGAAAGTTTCATGTTGCAATTTTCTCTTGTCTTATCGCTGCCGCGAACTGCTTATATAATGTCTTTTAAGCTTTCTATTATTGAATACGCCTCAACGATACGAATTTGATATTGAAGCTTTTTAATCACTTTTATAAATTCAATTCTGTTTTTCGATGATGAAACAGAGGAAACAGATTTCTAAGGAAAATTTTCATAAGAAAAATCAATCAGTGTTTACTAAATATTTAACTGGATCGATAAACAAACTACTAATCTTTCAACGTTTCGAAACTCGAACATCATTCTTAGTAAAGGTTTTAATACAGTCATTTGATGTAAATATTTAAATGCTCGAGCGATAATATCAATTGTTATTGCGCAAATCGAGTGATGAAAATGTACGATTCTACAAGTAAAAGTTTAATTTCATTGCTTGTAAAAACATTTACCTACCAATTTATGTATGCAAACAATGATTAGTGTATATAGGTTTACTAAATTAGCACGTTTATTGTGAAATGTTCACACTGAAATTTGATTTCTTCCTATTAACTACTTGAAAAAGAAGCACAAAGAAAATATTTATCATGTACTTTTTTCTGAATAATTCATTGTGAGAAAGCGCAGATTTGTATCAAACTTTCATTAAATACATCTTGATATTTCTTCAAAAACAACAGAAACAATGGATGAATCATCAAAGCTATATTAACTAAGTGATTCAATCTGAATTCAAGCGAAAACAAAACTTATTGCATCTAATTTAAAGCTTGAAAAATTGTTCTATTAATTTGCATTTTCTTTTAATGTTTCAATAAATAATTGTATATAATTTAGTAATTACTTGTGCATTTACAATAATGCAGTTTACTAATGGTATTAAGTCATTTTAAACCATTATTGCTTATTTTGTAGACATAATTAGAAAAGTTTACTAATGGATTTAAAATTTTTCTCAACAAAATACAAATTTAAAAGCTAATTTACCTTGTTTACTATAAGTTTTTTCTATCATTCTTTCAATTTTAATTACTTAATTTAGTCAGGTAGCTTAAAAATGCAAATTAAAAAAAACAAATCAATTTCCTTTCTGTATTTATTTACATTTTTTTTTCTTTCAATCTTTCAACGCTTTTTTTCTCTGTATTCGTCAATGATAAATTGAGAATTTTTAATGAAAGAATTGGAATGTTAAAATAGATTCATTAAAATCTTTTTCAGTTAACTAAAAATTGGAGAAATTTCAATCTTTCAACAGTTTAGCGATTTATTGAGCAGACTAACACGTTTTAAAGACTAAATTTTCAAAATTTAGTGAATATTGCAAAAGAAAACGTTTACATTTGCACGATTCTCTTACTTTTCATGATTTAATTTTTTTCATTACAAGTTTTAAACTTTTTTATTGAATTGATTTAAGTTTTTTCAATATCCAACAGTTTCCTATATATTCAATGATAAATTGAGAAATTGAACGAGTTTGAGTCTTAA